AAAAAATTCTTATATTAATTAAAATAGTTACAATTATCATTAATAAATAAAATATTGTAATCTTATTACATTTGAATGAATATAGCGCTAAACCCATTATCAAATGAATACAATCAGTATTGTTATCAATAGTCTATTGACAATAGATATTAAATACGATAGAAATGTTCACAAATTTAAGTAATTTATGTAAATTTGAAAACATTCAAAGTTAATAGATACTATTCAAATTACCGCCATAATACACATTAAAATATAAATTTTATTAGTGATTAACATTAACGGGTGGCACGAGAAATGAACGTACCTGGATAACTTTGTTTTTATGTGACCTTAAGGTATTTCATACACTCATAATATCGTAACATTTCTATGGAAACATATAAAGTTTATCACATTTTCGATAACAACACCAAACATATAACACAATTGATCGACATTTTGAGTTATTGTCGATTAAAAAAATTAAAACATTTTAATTCAATGTTTAAATGGGTATTAGATTCTTGAAATTGATAACATAAAACTTAATTTTTTGTAATTTGTGTGAAAAATGTCTACACTTTTGGATAATTTTCGTATTTGCGATACGATTGACACGAATATTAAACACGAAATCAAATTATTTCATGTTTTCAGTGACATAAATTATAAAAAGAATATACTATTTGTCACAAACGATGACACCGTCTATGGATTGGATGCTAATGGTATGGGATGTCTGGGTTTTGGTCATGACATGGATGTAAAAACATCAGTAATTATACCGGAATTGTGTGGACAACTGATCCAACAGTTTATTAATGGCTCGGACTTTGTGTTGGCTATGAATGAGGACAACCATGTGTTCAGTTGGGGACTCAATCATAGGGGACAGTGTGCTAGAGATGTGACACCAGAAGGGGTTTATTTAAAACCACAACTAATATCACAATTAAACGACAAGAATATCGCATATATTTGTTGTGGTGTTTGGCATTCCCTGGCGCTCACGACCGATGGAAAGGCGTACGGGTGGGGCAACAATTATTCGGGACAAATAGGATGTGGGTTCTTTGAAAATATAATGTGTTCACCAGTTTTTATACAATTTGAAAACGATTATAAGATGAAAAATATATTTTGTGGTTTCGCGTGTTCATTCACTATCCAATAGTAATATAATTTATTTTTGTGGCAAATATAGATATGACATGAAACAAGTCCAAATAGAAATACTACCCAGACCAATTTCTATGCAATTAAACGTTCAACAGATTCATGAAATGCATTCATTTGTTCATCAATATGTAGTATTAATACAAACTGATAACACCATTTGCGCACTTTTCTCACCAAACAAAGGGAAAAAATATAAATATAAAATTTTGTAGATTTTTATGCAGCTGAATGGCAACGAAGTTATAATACACTGCATATAAATATGAACATGGTCACAAATCTCTCTGAATCTGTAATGAAAATAAATAAAACGCCAAATTTTAAACCAAAACAATATAATACTAATACAAATGAAGGTATTTTGTTATTTGTTTTTATTTTAAATAAATAATATTATTGTTGTATTTGTTATAATTAATATATTTTATTCACAAAATAGTTGTAACAAAATTGGGACATAATTCGCATGAAAACCATTACAAAAGTCTGTTCATTGAGTTATCGGCCATCGGTTCCGGAGGTTTTGGAACCGTATATAAAGTAAAGCACAGAATCGATGAACACATATATGCCGTCAAAAGAGTCCAAATTAAAGGTATTATAAAATGGAAAATAATTTTT